TTATATTATATATATATATATATATATATATATATATATATAATATATATATATATAGTATATATATATATATATATATATATATATATATATATATATATATATATATATATATATATATATATATATATATACACACACACACAACTATATATATATATATATATATATATATATATATATGTCGATCGCTATATACGATGAAATTGTATGCTGACTCGACGTACAGTACGTATTGCGCAAAGCGCCATACGAAACTAATGCCTTTGTGTTTTACTTCTCCACTGATACAGAGGATTCTATATTCACCATTCCATCGCTTAAGATCTATCCCGAGATCCCCGTGGACAGGTCTAGAGGTGCGTATTGTTTGCAATATTTTTATGCTATTATTACGCTATCTTCATCGCTGTAGCTGCCACTCAGATATTTATGAGGGCTAAGTCATGTAGGTTGTTATACACATGCAGATAGATGTACAGTAGTTGTGATTATCCTTGTGTCCAGTCTTCCGCAGCAGACATCTTCGAGCACCTTGTGTTCGTCGCTACATTTAAAAACTATCACATTTACCGCTGGAGCGGGTCATATGCATGCCAGTGCATTTGGTCCTTTCTCGCACAGCCTGGTAGTGTTGTGCTGGACCTACCCGATTTTGTTTATGTAGGTTTTGCACCCAGAATTAACTCGGGTGTTGGCCTTGATCGAATCCATTCTGGACCAACTTCCAATTTGTTCACTACAGTAGATACCATCTGACGCATCCTCCTCAACAGGGACAAATAGGATATAGACCAATTATTACGATTATCGTACCTATCATAAATTACTTCAATTCTGCCAATATAGATTATAAATAGCACTCCCTTACCTACACGTCTGGTCCTATATGCACAGCTCAACGGATGCGGAAGTAAGTAATTCTACTAATTATTCGGATGGCTGCTATCCAAAGGAAGATCACAGTGGCGTGTGCGATGTCGAGAGTGTTTTGTTGCTGCAGACGCATTGCCATGCAGCGAGAGCCTCGACTACGCACAGATGGCGTAGGTATAGTTGAACACCTAACTGTCTCGGAGGACAGCGGAGAGTAAAGCAAGGATTAAACCATACTGAGCCTCACCCAGTTGACGCCTAGTTGACATCCAGTTGACTTGACATCTAGTTGACATCTAGTTGACACTTGGTTGACATCTAGTTGACACTTGGTTGACACCTTGTTGACATTTGGTTGACACCTTGTTGACACTTAGTTGTCACCTTGTTGACACTTAGTTGACATTTAGTTGACACCTAGTTGACAGCTGCCCGCTAGAGAAAGTCAAATTCTGAACTATCACTTAACGATTTGTAGCGCAGCAATAGAAACGCCAACGAATGGCATGAGTGGTACGAGTGGGCGTAGTCGCATGTGATTGAAGCGGGATGGGCAGGCCACATCCTATTGGGTGTACGCTAAGCCATGTAGAGCGAGAGATGTATTGCTAGTGGTAAAGATGGCTGAGATCGATAGTATGCGTCTCGTTTACACGGAGTTGAGGAGCCCTCTTGTTCTCCTTGAAAAAGTGCTGCTGTATATACATATCATCCGACATAAATACTGCTGAATTTGAGGACGTCTGGCATCATTATTGTTTTATTTCAGTCTCGCCCGTCAGACCGTTATATTGGTACTGTCTGTCTACCTTACTGTGCATTATAAACATATACTCCGCTATAAATCACTGCCTTTTCCGTATCATCAGTTTAATCACGGCTTTATTTCCGTATTGCCGGTCCAAATCACCGCCTGTTTCGTGTTTATGCATCGTCCGTCGAAATTACAACTCGATTTACGTATCGTTCTCTCATAGTGTTTACTACTTTGTTTATATATCGTCTGTCTGGGCATTGGGTTTGCGCTTCTTCCGTGACACCAACGCGGCTTGCGCGCGCAATTTGAGCGCATTCCTGTCGCCGTATTTGGCGGGATTTCGCACAGCATGACGTACCACCCAGAACAGCTCTTCTTGGAGCGTCGCGAGCTCTTCAGAGGTTGCCATGGTGATTACATGCTTCCGCTTTGTTTTAGTCTGACCGTCTTTCCTCTGCAGTTCGATAGAGGTGGCTCTGGTATTCTTTCGTATCCTCTGAGATAGTGCAGCTGTAGTGGCTGGCTCATCGCCACCCATTTCAACAGGCGACTGGGCCATTCGACGGCGTTCAAACTGTTGCTGGAGTACGCTTTCATCCCGAGCCTCCCCCACCCACTCACTGAGCAACTGATACCCTAGCTTGGCGTTGTCCTTTAGTATATCACCCACATGATTCGCCACCGATCTCCGTACATACAGGTCTGTGTCCCATTTAAGCATGTTCAGCAGTGGAATAACCGGACTCGGGTCCTTTTTAAACTGGGTCAGGTGCACGCCCCAGGGCAATCGGGGCCTTGTACCCTCACTGACGAGTCTTCGGATATTCACGGACGGACTGATTACCCACTCGTCTGCCATGACTGTCAGCACTGTGGTCTGATCTCGGTTGATAAGCGATCGAATGGAGAACTCTGCGGTGTAGCGCTGGGTGAGGGCAATATTGGCCTCAAGCAGATCGGCCACGGTAGCAATGCACTCGTCCTGTTGCCCCATAGCCAGTAGGTAGTGGCTATGCGGCATGTAGAAGAGGGTCTTTAGCCCCGCATCAAAGGGCTCCAGAGGGCCTAAGGAGGCTAGGAAGAAAGGCTTGGCGTGGGTAAAATGGGAAGGCAGGCATTCCTGCATCGCAGTACCTATCTGTTTGGACCGCTCGGTCAGTCCGAGGGTATCGAGATGCTTCGTAGCTTTCTGCACAAAGAGAGTTTCGTCAAAGGTATAGGCTGGCAACAGAGTACTACCCACGTGACTGGTAGCATCGATCTGATTGGCTTCTATGTCGGTCTTGTTGTCCCGTCCTTTAGCCATAGTAGCGTTCATGGTACTGTCTGCACCCAACATCAACTTCTCTGAGAGTGCTGATACCACATCCGTCGCTGATACTGTGGTTAGCACGGAAGTTGCCGCCACTTTCTCATACCCTAAGGCAATAGATCTACCAATCAAAACGACTGTCTGATAGTTCAGCAGCTCTTTGAGTGGCTGGCCCTTGGTGATACCTCTGCCAGCCTTCATACTGTGTATTGGGTGCAGTGCCTCGCCTTCCTGTCGCAACGTGTGCGCGGGTGCTGTAGCAGATTGTACAGCAACATCGCTATCACTCGAGCGATCAGCACCGCTATTAGAACTTCCTTCGTCTGTTTTAGAACAAGCTGTCGAGGCGTTTGATATATATCTTGGTGTCTGCTTTGGGCGAGGTTTACGTACTGTGTTCGCTGACGGCCCATTCTTCTTGTTAGTAGCAGCGGCTGCTACAGTTGCAGCGGCAGTATTTACATTCCTGGTCGACCTTCGCAGCATACTTTACTATGCACGTATGGTACAGCACCACACAAATCAGCCGCTACCTATCCTGAAGCATATAATCTCCTAACTATATAATCACTCAACTATATGATCACTTAACTATATATGATCAAACTATTATGATCTCTTAATTATTTTCTCTCATCTATATGATCTCTTAACTATATAATTTATTTTAACTATATGATCTCTTAATAATATAACCTCTTAACTGTAAAATCTCTTAACTACAAATCGGCAACTATATATACTCTGAACTTTATATTCTCTGAAATTTATAATAATTAAACTAGTGCCACACCTCCGGCAAAGCTACTTATCTACGTGTAAAACACCACCACACAAACGAACCCCTACTGACCCTAATCTAACCTATTCTCTTGGCCGCTGTTACACCCGAAAATTATATTGTGGCAGAGACGTGATATCTAATACGTGCTTAGCATTAACTATTTGAGAAAGCAGATTCAGATATGAAGACTTAACAGTGCACGTGTAATCGAAACTTTAAGAACTAGTCGTAAAACACTGCTATGGTATATTCAGGTTACCACGGGATGGTATAGAAATTAAGTTGCAAAAGCTTTCGGATGAAGTGTTCCAATCGAATCTTACGTTTGCCACATTCGTCGCATGGACGAGACCTAAATACTGGAGTGATGCGATGTGCTCTATTACACTAACCGAATAAGACATACGCGGTCACCTGCCCAAATCCATGTACGAAAGATTGTTCAAGACTACAGAACTCTCAATACCGTATTAAGAATATAGCTAGCGTTAGACTGAACTAACTTTCCGAGCTATTTATGAATATCTGTATTTACATTCAGATATATATTATAGTCGTATGCTGAATTGAACTCACTAAGCTCATATTTAACGTTATACGTGAAACCCAATAGCCTCCTACATAGATACGAGGAAAAAAAACTACGTTTTCTGACAAAGAAAAAACGCATATATCCATATATTGGTTTATTACATTCAATATTAATAATAAGTATGAACCAGGTGCAGGTTTCAAGATCAGATAAACGTTTTAGGGATTAAACCGAAACGATATTCTTCAAGCCCGACTGCCCGACCCTGTATTTTGAAGTATTTCATACATAAATATGTATTGGTAAATACATATTTGGGGTTTTTAAAATAAAATAAACGTTAATAAATACACAGCTCCCAGTGTTCAATTTAGAGGGCTATGGCAGTCCACACAATTTATTTTTATTTTTACTTTTTAGAGCAGGCTATATAAATACATAGTCTCTCTAGTAAAGACTAGAGTGGGCCTAGAGAGAGTACAGATTGCGCCAGTTTAGGGTTTTAGGGTTTTAGGGTTTGGGCTCTGCTATTCAAAACACGCGCAATGTGAGATCAATGTCACATGCGTTGTCTTTAGTCAGCAGGGGTTGAAGAAATACTTATCTGTTGTATGTATTTGTCTAACTTCGGCGTACATAAGCAGCACACAATATATTTATCAATATACATATATACATAATGTGTGTATATGTATCTAAAAAACATATATTTACATAAATATAGATATATTGTGATAATAGTAACATAAGTAATATTAGTAACAAGCTGATCAAGTCGAGTTGTACAGAGCAGTGATGGCGCATCTACAGTCAGATGACACGCCTTGGCGAGATGTCACGGCTGATATGAAACAGTTGGTGACATGCTTAGGGGTGGGCGAATGGATATCTACAGACTTTTTCAATCTAAGAGAAGGTATGGGCACATGTACATATATACATGTATATTAATATATGTTGTTACTTTCATATTTATGAACGTATATATATATATATATATGTGTGTGTGTGTGTGTGTGTGTGTGTGTGTGTATATATATATATATATATATTATATNTA